TAAGTATTATTATTCAAGGAGTAATACATGTCACAGTAGTTACGACTACTAGAATGAAACCTAACAACTGTCATCATCATCCATAGTTGAAAATATTCCCAACCACTTCAGCAGTAGTTATTCCGTACTGTCTATTAGTTAATAATCGATTGAATGACTGATGGTCTTTAATATGATGTCCAATATCTCGTTGAGTGGTGAATGATGTAGTCATAGTAATTGCCTATGTTAGGTGAAATATTTAACACTGGCAGTCATTCATTCAACTTACTACTCGACCGAGTTTGAGAAATCCTCTGCATTTCTTTACTTAAACAGTTCTTAAAAACATTGAATATAGCTGGACAGCCTTATCAAAGGAAAAAATTCGAAGATTTATGAAATAACATTGTTGATTTCAAAAATAATAATCACCAACCATACTTAATCTCAAACAATAACTTATTTAATGTTGTTGCTTGTATTATCCTGTCGCTGAGTGAACCGAATTGATCGTTCTCTATTGATATATGGGCTGCTGCATGGATGTCTCGATGTTACCTGTGTTTTAATTATACGATAATGATGGACATTGGGTAGCAGTGGGATGCAGGATGCTAGAAGTGTCCATTGTGACTTGATGGTCTAGTGGATAACGCTCTTGCATTAAAAAAGATTGGTTTTCAGTTCGAGTTCTAGTGCGAAAAACATCCGTCACTGGGAAGCGGATACATCCAGCCGACGAGTCCAAAGTTGGAAGAAACGCATATCATGGATTCTACTGCTAGCCCCTATCCATCATTCATTAATAATATATTTATTCTCTCTGGCCGACTCTTTTAGTCATGAAGACTACAGATGCCAACATTTCTGCTTAATTTATGCCATGTAAGGAAAGTATGCCGTTTTTTTAACCCTTTTATGCATGAAAATAAAAGTATCTGGTATATGTTGAAATACTTGAAGCTGATTTTTCTCATTGTTACATTGTCTTCTTCAGTTTCGGCCTAACTACTTTACCCAATTCACATCCGTTTATACCAGTTACATTCTGTTTCATTTAGAGAAAAAACCTTTCGAAAACCACAAAAATCAACGTTCTATTTCCCCTTGAAAATTATCTGAATTAAACATTAGAAATGCTTCAGAAATAAGTCACAATGTTTCAAATATCAATGAGGTGGATAACCATTTCACAGGCGTTGCTGTTTACAAATGTCTTGCTGTGTTACAAGGTGCTGTATGACTCTTTCTATTTAGCAGACTGTCAAAAATCAACAAAGTTTATTTCTCTAAAATGTCCAATATCATTGACCGAGCCTTGTACTACCTATTATTGTAACTGATTGAAATGATCGAATTCTTTGTGTAAATGAGTTCCTATGAGGATGCCTCAGTATTCAATATGGAGGTTTGTGGCGATTTATTAGTTGATTTCAGATTGGAATTCATCATGAACTGACATGAGTTGGAGGAACATTGGGCAGCTGTTTCATTCCACTATGAGACTCCTGAGCAATGCAGGTGAATGATCATGCCCCACCAGGGAAGAAGACCAACACCTTCACGTTCCACTGTCAGCACGTTACCATTGAGTCAATGCGTCGGAATACTACCTCTATCAATTCATAATATAGCCTCAGTGTTGCGTGAAGATTCTTGGACCTATCACACCAATTCATAATACGCGATAGTTCCATTAGAGATTTGTTAGCCAAATGTTTTTGTATTTCAGTATGTGATGGTTCTTCCATTGCTACTTCACTTTCTACCGAGTATATTTTAGCAGTTTTAGTATCCGTATTCCTACCTCAAATCATAAAAAGTGGTCATCAATTTTTGGGTGAATCAATAACTTTGAACGCTAACAGTTAGGTAGATAGTTTTATGACTTGAGGTAGGAATACAGATACTGAAATTATAGAAATATAGTCAGTGGGCAGTACATCAGAGGAGGGCTATCTTTCGAGTGTTTTAGTAGACTAATGGATTACTTTGCAGTGTTTACACAGATATATGTTGCGTTCCCGCTCCAATGGAAATACGATTACTCATTGAGATATAGGAACATCTAGTTGACGAGTGTCGAATGGCACGGTCGAGCATCTTGAATTGGAGTGATGTACCGAAGAAACTTCAAGCAATCCCGGTGCTATATAATCAACATTCATTAACTCTGCATATGTGTGACTAAGTCGTGTAGGCACGTGATTTCTAACTAATATCCTGTGACTTGTAATGTCACTCCATATATCCAAGTTTGGACAGCCAGATGGTATCATCAGGCTTCACATAAAAGGCCGAACTCATCGCCTCATAGAGAACATGTACAGAAGGTTACTGAGTAGATTTTCTTTCCAAATTCAATTTAAATACCGATAGAAATCAGTAACCAAGTTCATGATAAATTCCAACAACCGTTTGAAGTATTTAGTTGCAAAACGGATCGCATAAGTTTGGAATTCCTGAGTGTAAAAGTGTAACACAGGTCAATTTGAGGCGGTAAAATTCAGACACAACTCGGTCACAGCAACTCAGTAATTAAATTATATTGTGTAGTGAGAAGTGTTCAAGTTAGATGGAGACAATATTTACTGAATAACAAGGTGTGGAAGAAGAAGAACAAGAGACTTGAGGAGGAGTTTCTTTTCAGTAGTTTCATTCTCAATGCAGCACAATCTCAAATCCATACACTTTGCTTTCTTGTCATCTTAGGATTTGACAGTTGAAGATGGTTTGACAGTGATGGCAACAATCACAGTGTCAATGCATGAAGTGTTATAAAAGTCAGAAAGTGTAGTGGAAAGGGAAAATATGTGTGAGAATGTGACACCGCATGCCAAATGATTCATTGACAATGGAAAGCTCGGTGACGCCTTCGAAGTGAAGACAGAGAGGAGTAAGACAAGGCTGCTGCCTACAATCAGAGATGATCTTTCTGATTGTGGTCACCTGGATCATGTAGCAAACCATAAGGAGCGAGAAGTGAAGTGATAACTCCCAACGTTCTGATTCGGAGATTGTCTTTAATGCTGTCGCTTTTGTCCTGGTGGGAATAACATAGCTAAGTTGGAAGTAGGTGTATCCAGGGCACGAGTCCTGAATAGGACGAAATTTACTTGCTGGATTTCACTGCTAGCCATTGTCTATCACTAATGGAGACTGTCTTTGCTGCAAATTTACTCACACAGTGTGATGGTTAATTGAGTTTATCTTCAAATGTGTGCACGCTTGTTAATAGTTCATATAGCCGTGATTTTCATCATGCAAGCGTTTACTACTCTATCCTTGACGTAATACTCCCAATGGAAAATGTTTTACCATGTACAGAGAAGAAAATCATCTTCGGCTAATAAGATAAGCCAAGTTCATCTTTTAAGAAACTACACTTACTAGTACACAGACAAATTTCATTAGGTAGTCAAATTTTAAGTAAGCGCTTTTATTGTTATTGCTTGTATTACATATCGTCGTTGATTGGATCGAATTGATCAGTCTCTGTTAGCACATGACGAGTCATAAATGGGACGGAATGAACATCGTGGATTCCACTGCTAGCCACTATCCATCTTTACTAAAAAGATTTTATTCTTCATAGTTGACATCCAATATATCAGTTCTGTTTAATGAATCGTAAAACAATCCACTGAAGTGTGTTGTGCTTGAAATAACTTGGATATTTTGATGTGATTTTTGTCCTTTGAACACTTGATATAATCGAGTTGAGTATCTTCTGGGAAAGGTGGTTGTTATGCATGATCAGCTGACAATTCACTATCTTAGCAGTGCTATAGCTTAACTAGTGTTCAGCTCCCAATTAGTTTCCTCACGATATTTATACTCACTCAATAAAAAAATGGAATTAGTTGAGGCTGGACGTCAACTTGTCTCAATGATCGAAGGCGGTATGACAGAGGTTGTACAAATTTCTTGTGAATACAACGATTCGTTTTGTAGACGTGCATAGCCATAGCTTATACTATGTATAACGGAAGACTGACTGGCATGCTATGAATAGATGTAAAAAGCTTCCTAGTATTCACTGGATGGCTAGTTCATGGCCAGCGTGTAAGCATCAAGGATTCATTGTGAGTATCTGTCATACAGTCCCCTGAGATTTATGCTGTTCATATATTATACATTGAATTTGCCTAATGGACAATTGAAAATATGCTCTTGTTCCCCTTCTTTTCACCTTTGGCATGTAAAATATTCGGTGAAAAACTACTTTATTGAAGGTTATTTTCGGGAATTCATGTCATGCAAATCGATTTTTTCTCTTAACGCAGACTGATTATCATCGAGGCAACACTGATTTCCTCATGGTTATAAATAGGCTTTTTAGTAATAAGTTCCAAACGACATGAAAATAAGTGGGATCAAGTTAGGGTTCCACTAACTGACTTCTATTAGCTGACAGATGGTCAACGTTTCATCATCTGCACAACAGCTTGTACAAGCTGAATATTAGTTCAGTTTTCATGTCTGTGGGCGTTAACTGACTGATTAAATGATTTCAACGTAGTGCGACATCAGTTGAAGAAGGCTTGAAAACTTGAGATCACTAGAGCGTCGATCCATCCTACTGTGCAACTTCTTTCCGGTGCATACCAACCATTCAGTGAACTTCGTTTGAATCCTGCACTGTAATATATCGTAGAGTAGAAGTCCCACATTGGAATGGACCAGCTTCCCGGTGTAACCAGGTCCCAATCGTTTAAAAAAATCTGATTTCAGTCCATGATGAATACTAGATTGAAATCAAGTATTAGTTGGTATTGATATCAAGTTTCATACGTTAGATTCACGTTAAATTTGACCGCTCCATGGTGTGGTGACCTTATAACTATTCTAATTGACTATAGACTCAAATAAAGCTCATTAACTGAAAAGTCAGTGTTAGCCAATTACTTGAGAATGATTCTGTTTTATAAAGTACCAATCATCAGTCTATAAACACAAGTCAGTCTCTTTCTGGCAGTATAAAAAGACATGATTATGCTCATTTTCAACATATACACATGGAGGTGTGCACACATAAGATGTTTGCTTCTTCGTTTCTCGTTTCTGTCAGCATCTATATCCTGCTTCTACAGACATCCATAGTGAAAGGTAACCATTATAATGTTTTCATGTCTGTCTTTTTTATTATTCTATTCGTATCCTATTATACTGTCTGATTTCGGTCAGCTGTTGGAGTGTGTCATTCTTGATGATATCGGTCTGGATTTCAAGCATCGGTTAATGGTAACGATATGCTATGAAGTAAAATAGGCCAAACCTTATGTCTATTCAAATTTGAGCAAACTGGTAGTTGAAATCATGATGAAAGTGTTGATGGTTATGGATTAAGTTTCCATCAGTCATTTTGATAAATATTTATCAGCATCAGTCTAGAATATCCTGTTGATATGAACTGTCAGATATCTTATTGTTTATTAAGGGCCGAGTGTACTGTACTGCACTGCACTGTGCTGTGTTCTACGGTATGGTTTTGAAACATGGGCATAAGAGGTGGAAGACATAAGAAGGCCTCAGGAGTTTGACCACCCTTGCCTTTTTAGCATACACCGCGTTAAAAACTTAATTGAGTGGAGGGAGAGACTGATAACTGACTGAATCATTTGTTGATCAAATCAACACTAAACACATGCTGCAAAATGAATGATTGTAACCCAATCACAGATATGTGGAAAAACCCTCGACCCTCATCATCACAGAGAAGGAGAGAAAATTAGGATTATATAAAATGTGTCTGAAAGTTGTGGAGTTGGTTACGTGATATGAATATGTACAATATACTGTGTCTGAAAACTACCTTATCCACTAAATGATGCTGTTTGTTGACTGTAGGTGACACTTCTAATTAACAGACTAAAATGTAATTACAATCGATTACAGTGCTCAAGTTTTACTCCTACATTAATTCACAAGACGTTCTAATGAACAAAGAATGCTATTTTTAATATCTTATCCAAAGAATATCACAAATTGATAGAAGTAGGAAAGTGTGACTCATCGGCTTTCAACCTAGTAACTAAATGGCAATACGCTTGTCATAACACGTGAATGTGATGATTTCGAACGCTGGTATAGTTGTGGGATGCGTACTGTTGAAGAGTTTCATTCTCGGATGAAATAGCTATCTAATGCTCTCAGCTTTTCAACACTTCCCCAACTGCTGTCCATTCTTTGTGAATGCCACATTGAGTTATGGATCATTTCAGTCGAAGAAAAAGCATTCCATTTGACGGCAGTATTTTGTCTATCACATGCAGCATAAACATGTACACACCTGTTTTCACTGAACGTTAACCAAGCTTATTTATGAAGTATTTCTTATACATACATATATAATCACATTTACATTCTTATGATTTGATGCAGCAGGAGGAAGGAAGGATGGTAAGTGGACGACAGTGACTATTTTGACAATGAAATGAAACTTATTAAATAGGATTTCAAACTATAATTCTGAATAATTTATACAGTAACTGGTCTGCTGTGTTTTAAGCAACTCTCCGTAGTTAGTTTTTACGATAGTCTTTGGAATGACACTACTCATTCTCAACCATTTATGAAGCGGACGTCGGTGTCGTCTATACATTTGAAAGCAAACACAATCTTCATATGTGACCTTCCACTTTCTCACTATTTGGAATATGGAAATGGATTATTCTGCTTGTGTCCCGTGCAGACCTCTGTATTGATATTCTCAACTTTATCTGAATTTCACTGCAGCCTATTTCAAGGCTAACTGGATTAAGAAGTTGGTTAAAAAAAAACAGCTTGATGGACCAGCCAAAATGAAGCTCATCTGATGAGTGCGGACGTCATAGCATGAGCCAGACAAAAGCAAATATGACAAGCCATGATGCTCTGATGGTTGTGTTGTCTTCCATCATTTCGATACCTCCTGATAAAAAAGATTGTAGCACAGATTCTAGCAGTGATCATGAATTGATTTCCCAGTTAAACTTATAAAACTCATATCATCAGCTGTTTACTATGATGTCATACATTTATCAACATCCATTTGAATTCGAGATACCACAATATTGAAGATACATCTATAAATGACAATCGATAAATTGAGAGTTAGCTCAGTTTAGGCTTCATGTCAGTAAGCTAGTAATATGCACGATTATATAGAATTCAACAGAATGGCGATTCGCTAATCAGTCTTCTAGTCATGTTTTCAACGTCACTGAAGAAATTTACTTTGATAAGACATTGGGAATCAACCAGTAATATTGCTTAACATTTACTGAATCCTGTACAGATATATGCACACAGGTTATGATTTCCCTAACTGCATGCTCACACAGTGAGTCACAAAATGTATGGAATGACAACTGACTAATTGTTTGTTCTTCTCAACTTTTTGTTCTTCAGAGGATATACGAAGTATAAGTCATCTGGATAAAGTTATAAACAGATATAAAAGTAACCTGGAAATACATTTTACTCTATTTAACATTTGTCATATTTATGCTGGTCAATATGACCTGTGTGTAGACACAATAACCTTTTCGGTTTCACCGTCCATAATCATTCAATTCATTGAAAGGTGGGAAAGGTGTAGTGAGATATGTAGCTGTGTACAACATACAAGGAATTGTGTGTAGTTTCATTGGTCGAGTCTACTTCTCTGTCTGTTGACTTCATTTCTTCAATCAGTGTAATATTTGTGTACATACAGTCACACCATCGGAGTATATTGATTTGTAGTGAAGGATTCCGGAGATACACAACTTCAAAGAGGTAGGAGTGGAACATGGTCACCAAACGAATATTCATTTGAATATGTACGATGAATTGTGTGAGAATCATTGTCAAGTAGATAAGACCATTTCACTGTGAATGAAACATGTGGTGAACAGACTGAAATTGATTTTGTATTAGTTTTGAGTAATCGGTCAATGGTGGTGTAGGTCACAACACTAATCAAAGTGAATATTGGAAATTGTTCCCCTGTATACAGTGTGAATGCTTTCATCATTTCATTGCGGTAAAGTTTGTGTCTTGAACAGTTGGCCAGCTGCTTTGAACAGTGTCCCCACTTTCACTTCATATAAGTGATTCCATTTGTGGTTTAGGATAGCAGACCCAGCAATCCTGATTTGATTTTTCCAATACTGAGTACAACACAAATCTCGAAGGATATCGAGTCGAGTCGAATTGAATGGAAATCACGCCAACTCAGCTATCCTATGCGCACTCTTATTCAATTCGGCTTATAGCCAAGAGTGTTTTTGCAACAGCTAGTGATACAGGTGTCTAGTTGCTCAGTCCTCAGTAGATTCTGTTGGGTTTGAACCCATCATGCATCATTTCGAAGTTGAATGCTTACATCCATGAAACAACTCCAAACAAACATACAAATGTTGTAAAACTATTTTAATACATTTTTCTGTTTTCTTACAGATGCTATACAACAAGATAGAACAAATGTACACGATGCTGAATGCGCTGCACTAATATTTGGAGGTAATGAAACGAAAACATCTACAGTTTTATCCTACATATTCCTCTGTATTATGCGACATTTCATGATAATTCATATTCTTGATTGGATATTTCTGAGCTGTCAATCCTATAAGTTCACTCGAAAGTAGGATCTTCTCTGTTTTGAAGTCAAGATGATTTGATGTGTATTTTACTGAGGAAATGTTTAACATGCAGAATGAATTGCAGATATCACCTGAGCTATTCATATACTGAAGCATTTCTTCAGTTCAGCTGAAGCATGAATGACTAAAGCAATTCGGAGACATTTATTGTGTTTATCGAAGGAAACATCTAATCCCTAATCATTAACCCTTGTGAATCGACGTCCTCTGAGCTGCATATTGGTGAAATATCACAGACACTGACCATGTTGAAAGAAGAAGACTTTGACATGTAACTTCACCTTTTCTGTCATTCTAGTTTTAAGTTGGGGGATCCACACTCTTAGATAATAAAGTATGTGAAACTCCACGAAGTTATGTCAGGAGTGAATAGTTGTAACCAGTATTTAGGAAAGGCTTTCTCTGCAACATTTAGTCACACTTGGTCTCGACTGTCTCTGCTTATTGCACACTGATCAATATCAGATGTACTGACAGAAGAAATCAGCTGGCAACCCAGCACAACAGTAGATCACTTCAAGTTTCTACAATTCACAACCACATTCGAAGAAAATTGGGTACAGAAAGATTGATGTTAAAGCATGCATGCAAAACGCATACTAGTCAAATATACTCAAACATCTTCTTAAGGCCTTCAGAGGACCCTGCATTTCGTCATCGTCTACATCTAGTAGAACAGCGTTGATTGCATAATCAACAAATCCCAAGAAGATACTCTCCACGGAGTAAGTCAATCTCTGTGAAGTCTGCCTCGCCATCAGTTGCATCCATTTAGGAAGTGATTAAAATGTACAGTACAAGCTCATGTCAATTCTTAACTTCAACATCTCTATATTTCAGAGCGAATGAAGGAGCGGTTAGTTGACCTTGAAGAAAAACTTAGAATATGTGAGTGAAGATCTATTCAGTAGAGTGATGCTTTGAATTTATAGTGAAAAGTTGTCTAGTTGAAAGCCATAAGTCAAATTATCAACTGAAAATCAGTAAAGGTTAGTTAGTGTGTACTAATTTTATTTTTGATAGGAAATCTCCAAGAATTACAGTACACCCTTAGTATTTCACATTGCAACCTGACGTAACTCAAAGTTAATTTAGGTTTTATAGCTTGTAACTCACCATGGTTGATTGATCGACCTAGTTGAGAACTTTGGATGGAATGATGATTATATATTTGTTTCCTTTGGTTGTAAGAGTGTCTGAGAATATTATCGCTCACAAACAAATTGTTAAAGTTGATAGTTGGGGAGGAGAAATTTCACGAGAAGCGTTTTGTCCATTACATATGTTAGTCAAACGAAAATCAACTGTGTGTCCAGTCGCTATAACTCGACTATTGTAGAACATCCTAATAAATTACTCTATAGGCTATGCATAGCATGGAACGAAGAAATCTGTAAGGCATCATGTGGCATATGAAATCAATGAGGTGGTATTCTTCATGGATCGGAGTTGAGATGTTATAGAATTTGGATTACCCAATGAATATGATTTAACAGAGGTAGTTACAATCCTTTCAAAATGCCGCATTTATTATCTCGCCTATGACGATAATCGATGAACGGTGTTTATAAAGAGACTCGATACGAGGGTGGAATTGCTCCTCAGTATTTCATTTCATTTTCTCTGATAAATGTTTTTGTCATTCGGTTTTTAAGTCTTTCTTATGAAAATAAACTTCAGAGATTATAAAATAATGGGAATCATTGAGTCGAATTATGGTGAGTACCTGTTTCATTTGCTTAGTTCTAAAAAAAGATTAAATCACTTTGTATCATATGAATGTTTGGCAATCAAGATTCATTCCTTGGGTGGATTAGCATTCTCGTTTTCCTTATTTATCAGGAGACCTATTCAACCGAACGAGGAACATGTCACAATGTACAAGAAACTTCATCGTATATATCGCGGTAATACTAACCCTCAGTGTATAGCTTCCCGTTTTATAATCTTATTATCCTTGCTTAAATATACATGGCTAATTATTTGTCAGGCTAATTGTGGATAGCGATTGAGCAGAATATGATTGTTCGGTAGACTCATATATATGTAACAACTGAATGGCACTTGAAGTTCTTCAATCTAAACACATTCGATTTTTGACTAGATTGAATAACCTGCATTCGTTCCACACATATTTCACTGAACATCCTTCATGTTTATTCAGCACATGGATCAAATCAATATCGTCATGAACAGTGTTACTACCACTTCCCTTCGAAACACAGAATGGGTAAGCAATGTCATAATTTGCTGTGAAATATTCACAAGTCACATACCCCATGGAAGTGACATCATTCAATGAAGGTAAACAGAATGTGTCGAACACATTGAAGTACATTTCACTGCATGTATACGCATATATGTTCATGATGAGTATTTCGTCTACCACAATGAAGAGCACATTCGATAGAATGTCAGTTCATCATTTCATTCAGAATAATATTCACCAATTTTTTCACCGGCATATTTTATTTCTATCTGAATTGTCTGCTCTTCAGATGTTGAGAAACTGAGTGAATTGATCAGAGAAATGTATGCAGCGAAGTCGCAGTTTGTGAGAGATTCGCGTGAGTATATTGAAGACTGGAAGTGAATTAATATAAGTGTAAAACTTGGGCACTGTGGTAGAATGTTATTCCACATTAAATCTAATATGGAAGTGAATTACTCAGAATTTCATCATCACCAGTCCAATCAGATGTGTACATCATCCAGTAGAAATGAATATTGTGTAGTTGGTTGTAAGATCCCCATCCCACACTTGAACATTATTCATTGTTCAGTGGAACTGTTGACGAACATTTTGCAGTTGAAGTTTTGACTGATGTGAGAATATATTGTGGTTGTTTTGAAATTTCAGTGATACAGAAAGCATATGAAAGAATGGCATTCTATTTGCAAGTGAGCTCATACTCTACTCTTCATCTCATATACATGAATAATAATGATGTCATTTTACAAATTATTGATGCTAACATCTTGAAATTGCCTTATGCATGAAGATAATTTTAACTGACGATTTTGGAAAGGAACATCACGACAGTCATTCCGGTTATATCAAATCGAATTCAGAGTAAATTATGAAATCGCCACTCTACTCACATCACTTTTGATGGCAACATGAATCATCGTGATCCTGCATTCCTCCATAACGTCGAGTTATGCATAACGTGCTTGACAAAAGTCTCCACAAGATAATGCTGAAATTAATTGTGTTTTGGTTATTATTGTAAATCAGAGCCACATTCCAGCTAGGAAGTATCAATATATGTGCATGAAGTAATCAATATTCAGTGGTTTTTCACCTACTTATCTATCAGTGTATGTATGATTAGGTGTGAGGGCGGTTGCCACATTCCTTCAACATGATCAATAGGAACGTATTAGACCGAGGTGAGAGAAGATAATTGACTGAGTACAATGGTGAAAAGTTAACCTAATTTAACAAGAGACGGTGATCAACCTTGTTTTCAATTCAATGAGTAATAGTAGTGCTCAGATTGAGTGAGTAAACGATTGATTGCTTGTTTGTGAGCATGCTCAGCAAAAAGTGAATGGGTATGGCGATTAGAATTCCGTTGTGATTCATCACTACACGGAACAAAACCAAGTGAATGATGTCCTAAGTCGCTTCTACTATGTGCTATCAGAAGGTGACTTATCTGTGTCATTATCCTGATAACTGACAATCACTTCATCTTGTGAAGTTGAATGTCGTGAGAAATATGCCAATAATCTTGAGATGGATTGTCAAGATACTTCGAAGGGAACTGACTGTTGTTGTAAGGCATTGTTGCATGGCAGTCTGCATCTTTCAGGCAGTGATAACAGGATTTTATCTTCACCTTCCAGTTTGTATGAAAATCAAGCAATCATTCATGGGATCCTGTCACTGATAATGTGTGGATTATGGAGAGCAGACGCAGAGACAACAGCGAACATGCTCACATCACACATATTGCAGAAGGTGTGGAAGGAAGGGAAGGTACCTGGCGACTGATTGGAAGAAGGGTTACCTTGTCAAACTCCTGAAGAATGGAGGCCTGAGTCTTTGCAAGAACTGGCACGGAATCACTCTCCTGTTCACACCAAGCAAATTATTATGCCGCATCATACTGAAGAGACTAAAAGATGCTTTGGATTCGAAACTGTGACCAGAACAGGATGGCTGGCTGGATTCAGGAAGTACAAATCATGTGCGGATCAAATTGCAACGCCAGAACACGCATCATCATGGAACAGAGTGTAGAATGGCAGTCAACTCTCCACCTCAACTTCCTCGACTTTGAAGAGGCCTTTGACAGCGTCGACTGAGAGGTAATTTGGCAACTGCTTCAATACTACGGAATACCACTAACCCTTATCAATCTCATTCAACAACCAAATGAAGATGCCACATGCCAAGTAATTCACAATGGGAAGCTCAGCTCAGTGATGCATTTGAAGTGAAGACAGGAGTGAAACAAGCCTGTCTACTATCACCCATGATATTCCTGATTGTGGCTGACTGGATCATGCAGCAGACGATGAGGAGCGGGAAGAGGAGAATACGCTGTTTGATCGATGAAAAACTCTGGAGCCTTTTGATTTCGCCAATGATCATTTATGTCTAACGTCACACAAATTTGAAGATGTACAGGCAAAAACTAACAAGTTGATAGAAGAGGCAGGGCAGGACAGCGAAGACGGGACTTCATGTGAGCATAGAGAAGGCATGGGTGATAAAGATACCCACCCAACAACAACGGCAACAACAAGCTACAATCACCATCAACGGAAGAAACTTAAAGGAAGTAGTCTGCTTCACCTATCTAGGCAGCACTGTTCCAACTACAGGCAGCAGCACTGACGAGGATGTCAAAGTCAGAATCGGAAAAGCAAGAGAGGCGTTCATTAGCCTGAAATCAGTGTGGAGATCCACTGCACTGCACTCAGCATAAAGCGTGAACAACATCCGGATTTTCAACACCACCTCAGTCATGTCAGTGCTTCTGTATGGCTCAGAAACTTGGCGTGTTACGAGAGAGATTTTCAACAAACTAGAGACAGACGTCATCAACAGCTGCCTATGCTGGCCCGTTACTTAAGCTCAGATGGCCAGAATTATAAGAATAGGCAACACGAAACTCTGGCTGGCAACGAACCAGTGATGCAGGAAGCTCTCGCTCAACAAATATGCACTGGAAGAAAGTGGAGATAGATTCGGCACTGTCTGTGTACGGAAGTAGGTGGTTGACTGACTTCTAGTCACCTCATTCATAGTTAGTAATTCAGTGAAATATAACTGTTGTTGATAAGTAGGCTGCACTTGTCCAAATGTTAAATACAACACTGTCACCAGATCCTGCATTGAATCCCTGGTAGATGATGAACCATTTCACTGTCGACAGTTGCTAAGATGACATCATGAAAGGATCACTGCAATATTATCGTCTGACAGAGAGGAAATTCAACTGGTCAAATTACAGCTTCGTGTAAACTGAAGGTTGCCTGAATGTCTACTAACTGGAGTGTACTTTTACTTGTTAGATGTTATTCAATTGTTTAGAGACTTTTCTGCCTTTGACTAACCTACTAATACAACTTCTGTTTTGTTTCTTTTGAAGGGGAGTTCAGGAAAACTACATTTCGTGTCAGACTCGAATCCATTCCAGTTTTAAAATGACAAACTCCTCTTACTCATCATCACCATGATTGATGATGACCATTTTGGTGGTAATAATAATATGAATAATAAATCATTTAATGTGAGGTATATATGGTCTTGTACTGAATATTTTTTGATAATCCGATTGACTGAAATTGTATACGAAACGATAAAATGATCAGTCTACAGCAGGTCTACTTGACCAATTCAGTATCTAATCAACAAAATTTCTGTTGAGAAATCTGTCTTACGCGTCAGTTAACAATGCATAAACTTCATCTATGAGGAGGACTGAAATGATAAATTGAGTTTGGAAAGGAGTGTTGGCTCCATGATCCCACAGCCATTGTGTACATCTCATAGGTTCATGCTGAGTGAACTAGTTTTCCGTTCTCAGCATTGAATTTCTTTGAAAACCTCACCAACTCTACAATGAAGGAGATTCTTAGTCTAAACTGAAGTATGGGCAGTGATAAGAAACTATATTCACAGCAATGTGTGTTACTAAGACAGGCCAAAAGCATTTTCAGTCACTTTTCTTCTGAAATCAATACCAACTTTTAGTCACAGTGATTCCATCAGAAACAGGAAAAGAATCATCAATCGAAATGGTGACACTACGTCATTTCTTGCTGATAACTTTGTACTTCTTGTGCATCCCTTAACCTGTAACCTGCTGACATTCTCTAAACTTGTCTGCCCCAATTATTTTTAAAAAACTCCCAGTCGAGGTGGCTAACAGCCAATCTTAGTATGTTAGTGACAGCAATATGCACCTGTTCATACGAGCGCTGAATAATGACTAAATCACGATCTCATCTGTGTGCTGGTATTGTTCATCAGGACCTGATTCTATATCGATCTAATTGATTTTGGTCGAAGTGAAACGGAATGATTATCTGGTCAATAGTATCCATGCTTGTAGGTCAATCGATGGATTCTGCATCTGGTAGCTTGTAGGCTGCTTGTTCGAATCCTGTCGTGAACCCTATTTTCAGTCATCAACATCATCATCATACTAAGCCCTCATATAAAGCCACATGTTCTCAGAGGTACCTTTGAATCGAAAAAGAATGGGAAGTGAGGACTGCCACAGTATATCAACAAGTATTGAGGTAATTGAAGAAGCTCTCAGATAGATGGTGGCTTGATGTACTGCAGATCGCATGATTCCAACGCACAGGGCTTTTTACTCTCAACAGTACCATCTGTCTCCAAACGGATGTTGGTAAATTCGAAGGGTTGGATCTGATTAGAAATTTGAAGAGGACGATAAAATTTTCACTGATGGTAGATGCAGAGAAATGTGATAGTTAGGAAAACTAGGTACAAAGATTCACCAGGAGAAGTGGTTCATACCATTTGCCATTTTCAAATCCTGCTGAGACACTCTTCATTATAATACATTATACAACCACCTTGTCAGCTAAGTAAGGAACTCCATTTCGTCAATGATAGCACATGCACATTTGCTATCTGTGTAAGTTGATCGGTAATGTCAGCGGCGTCCACTCAATGTTTCAAATGCTTTTCCATATCTAGCAGTTACTGGTTGTTACAGAACCTTTGAGAAAATGATCCTCCTTCATCTACCGGTGATAAGCGAAGAAATGGAGTTATAGAAATATGGGTTGGTGACTTCCTACTCACCAGCATCCTCATCTACATCTAATGACTTCATTAGTTCTGTAAAGAAATCAGCATCTGATATATATATATATATATATATATATATATATATATATATATATATATATATATTGTGTAGTGAGTGTTTGAGAAGTGTTCAAGTTAGATGGAGACAATATTTACTGAATAACAGGGTGTGGAAGAAGAACAAGAGACTTGAGGAGGAGTTTCTTTTCAGTAGTTTCATTCTCAATGCAGCATAATCTCAAATCCATACACTTTGCTTTCTTGTCATCTTAGGATTTGACAGTTGAAGATGGTTTGACAGTGATGGCAGCAATCACAGTGTCAATGCATGAAGTGTTATAAAAGTCAGAAAGTGTAGTGAAAAAGAAAAATATGTGTGAGTATATGATACCAAATGCGAAGTGATTCATTGACAATGGAAAGCTCGGTGACGCCTTCGAAGTGAAGACAGAGAGGAGTAAGACAAGACAAGTTTTGCACCTGCTATCAACTGTTGTTCTCCTGATTGTGGTGGACTGGTTCGTGCAGCATACAGTGAGGAGTGAGAAGATGGGCATGTGCTGACTGGACCGCTAAAAAGACCCTAGAAGGTTTGGATTTCACCAATCATGATTTACGTCTAATATCGCACAAACTCGAAGATCTGTGGGCTAAAATCTACAAGTTGGAAAAAGAGATAGGTCAGCAGGTACGGAACTTCAAGTGAACGCTGAGAAAACGGAGGTGGTAAAGATACCACCCAAACAACAACAACGACAACAACATCAAGCACCAATCACCATCAACAGGAGATATCTAAAGGAAGTTATCTCTCTCAGCTAATCACCTGCCTATGCAGCATCGTTTCAACTACTCGCGGCACACGCACAGATGAGGATGTCAAAGCCAAGTTTGAAAAGACAGCAACAGAGGCCTTCTTTCATAATTGAAGTCAGTGTGGAGATCCACTCTACTGCGCTGCAGTATACTCAGGATAAAGCGTGAACAACATCCAGATTTTCAATACCAACGTCATGTCAGTGCTTCTATGTGACGGTTGAGAGATATGGCGTGTCACGAAAAGCATTTGCAGCAAACTAGAGACATGCACGAACAGCTGCCGCCTACACTCACTCCATACTGGAGATCAGATGACCCTAATAATGATAAGAAGGAAGGAGACTCTGGCTGACAACGAATCAACCTTCGAAGAATCTATCGCCCAACAAATGTGTAGAAGAGAGAGTGAAGATGGATTGTATTGTATTGAGCATACACTGAGAAGACGGTTTTGGGACATCACGCGTTAGGCCAGGCCGTCGACTGAAACCTAGATGGGAAACGATAAGTAAGATATCTGAGTTTGACACAGAGGAGATCATATGGCGCAGAAGTGAAAGCTTATGGGCAGTCTTGGAACCAGGTTGATAAGACTGGCAAGAAGTAGATGAAACGGCGACATGCGGTGAATCCCAATGTTGCACTAGGAACCCAAGGGACAAACGATAGTAGTAATGTATGAAGATTAAAAATTTCGCTTACTAAGTTTTGTAATTTGACAGAATATATGATGACTGAAGTATGATCGCAAAGAGCACACCATAGAAGAAACAAGAACAAATGGTAAATTGCGTAAGAAGTGAAGAGTGTAAGAAGAAAAAGGTGATTTCAATGAATGAAAATGAAAGTGATTGCTCTTTTTTCCTCGATTTCTAAATGGCAACATGATATCTTGAACATTAACCCTCAGAGTTCAACTTTGATAATCGCTCAATTCTTCGGAAGTATATTTATTGACTAAATGCAACATTTGTGCATATTCTTGATCGTCTAGGTCATTTTCTTACCTTTTTATATAGACCTTCTGCCTCGTATAACTAGCCTGATATGATCAATGATGACCATGTACCATTTCATGATACTTCAGAGCACACTAATTGACTTCGAATCACTTCCAAGATTGAGTGCTTCATTGAAGTATCTCAACAACCTTATGATAGACCATGATGAGAACTTCTTCGTATCCATTTATTTCTTCAGAAATTTATTATTTCCCCGGTGATTAGATATCATCTATCCAATCGGCATACATTTTATATGTTTTCTATAAGTGACGTTGATTCTACATCTCCATGAATACATTTTATTCAATTAATCTTCAGAATTGGTATAAATATAAAGGAGACCTATCGGTTTTATCTGTTCTCATCAATCAAATTGTAATATGAATGTTTTCTCATCCTTTTTTATTAGATGTTTATTCATTCAGAAAAGATGTTCCATATACAGTTTATCCAATTCAAAGTGGAATAGGTAAATATCACTACATACACACTCTGTTAATGTTTCATTAACATACTTCATTGACATTAATGATTGTTCCAATGTTCAGTTCCATTCACAAAAGAACACCTGAACATATAACACTTTACAATACAAAATCGATGGGTTCAATAGTTCAAATCTTCGAGAAAATTTGTGTAGAATTGAATATCATCAACCTTCTTATCTGAAATTTCAATCGTCTTATTTCATAATTGAATTTATGTTGTAGCATTTAAGTATACTTGTAAAGTTGATAGGAAATATTAGTAGTCATGCTGAGGTGACATTTCTCTGGTAAACTGTATGTAAGTTATCAAGAATAAACAGAGTAGTTCTGTGATCAGTATTACTTGATCAGTGCAACAACTTCTAGATGAAATTGATGTTCATAATTATCTTGTATTGTAATGGATTTCATATTTCAAAGGGAGTAAGTATCTATTGTTAGGTGAGTTGATTTTCATGAATATGACAAAGCAAAGAGAATAAGCACATACATGAATAGCATCTAAATTCTCGAAGAAATACTGTAAACTGTTATAGTTATTGTGTTGTATGTGTAGTACTGTCTAGTGATATGCTTCGAGATGCACTCGCTGAATTTTCCGTGTGATGTGGTGACCTGTATTATCACCTGAATCGCATACGATAACTTATACTCATCGATTGTATTGGACCATAATCGCTGCATATCATAAACTGACAGAGGAAGTGGAATGTGAACAAGTGAATTTCGACCCTGTTCGTGAAGAGTTACATACTTTCCATGAGATTTAATAGCTAATGGTTCGATCCATGGCGGGACTTCAACTGCGGACTCTTAAAAAGTCCGCTTCCTGATTTTCATTTTAATTGGAACATGATAGAAAAAGAAACAAGTTGACACAAGTTTCGGTGGTGGTTGCTTGGTGTTCTGCGGTCTTTAAGGGTTTTTTACTTGAAGCAAGTTTACTTAGTAAATAGTGTTGAATGATGAAGAACTGAAGTGAACTCAAAGTTTATTAGTTTACAAGGGGTGTTTCTGTGTTCTGTAAGCAGTAGGGAACTAGCCAT